ATTTGAGAATCCAAAACAAACAGGCCCTTAGTATAATTTCAGTCAAGTCTAATTCTATTTTGATTTTGTAGTTGAACTAGAAGTGACAGATTTTGTCTATTGGCATACAAGGTAGCCTTCACGTTTATTGATGGTATATTTGTACTATTGGTGTCTTGGTTTTGTTTCAAAATCTCCTGGGAAGCAAGGTTTCAATTTCATCAATTTTCTTCTGAATAAGCTATATAGACTCACAAGAACAATTTGGATATAGATCATTTAACACAGGAACTGATACAACTTCGATAAAGATCACAACTCTAATGTATAAAAATCCAAACCATCCATACACATGTTCATCCTCAACATTGAAAATCCAAAAAATAAACAAAGAGAACATGAACCAGTCCCCCTCAACATTGGAAATCCGTGCTCTTCCAGAAACAAAAACCAGTCCCCAAAAAATTGAGGTGTTCCAGCTCTCTCCCCTCGTGAAGGTTTGAAATGGAAAGGAAATGGAAAGATTTGATTCCGTCGATTTCGTCCGGGAGAGGGTGATTCGAAGGGGAGTGTGATTCAAAATCTCGTGAAAATCTCACCACATCAGCATTATGGATCCCTTTAGATAGAATGTGATGTACTAGTAGCATTTTCCTTTAAAAAAATGGTGTATTTTCATAATTATTTTATATTGAATATGTACTTCTACTGAAAAAATAGTTCGTGCATGTATTTTTAGATAAATTTATTTGACTACAAATCTTCCTTAAACTTCGTTTATTCACGATTTAATTCGTGTATCAATTTCATTTAAGGATTAAAATTTTGATAAGGAAGAAAGAAACTTTTCTTATCTATTATATTTGAAAGAGTAATTCTATATAACCATACTGATTTATGTGGCTTTAAATGATAGACTAAATGAAAAGTGAAATTAAATAATTTATTTAATTTCATCTATCATTTAATGTCACAGTAACGCCATCTAAACTGGGGTTGTAACCCCAGTGGGGCTAAATATCATTACTCTATTTGAAATGTTTGAAAAATGAAAATAAAATGCAAAATTGCACATTCATTCCCCAACTCCTACATAATTAATCCAAGCTTTAAAATGCTACTCTGGTCTTCAATGTTTAACATATTTGTAGAATTGGTCCTTTCTCACAGTTTCTATTTATTTGGAAAAGAGAGAGAAACACCACACCATGTGAATGGCATATGTCAATGTCACCACGGATGGTGCTAGAGGTGACAAATTGGATTAAACTATTTGTACACACAAAATATTCACCTTCATGACACCTCACGTGTAAAAAATTTGACAGTTGATTGGAAAATGTGTTGTCAAAATCAACGCGCGAAAATCTGTTATCTTATATAGGTGCAAGCCAATGTATCAACATTTATGTATATGTAGCATAGTCAAAAAATGTTTAAACTAAATTAATACATAGAAAAAGAAAACAATTCACAATTTTTTTAGCTAAAATTAAATGGGCTGCAGACCTGCCCCTCCATCTATTTAGCCCCATGAACATCACGCAAGGGTAAACAATCACAAAACAATTCATTTGGATGTAATTGTGATTGATTAACATTTAAGAAATGTCGACGTGTGACCTCCACGCAGTTATTTTATGGCTTCATGGATGAAAATCTTGAAAAAGGATCAATCCGCCAAATACTCTAAGAACGAGGACTAAACAGTAATAGTTTTATAGATTGGAGGCTAGATGTGCAATATTTACAAAAACAAAAAGATAGCAAGGGAGTGGGACCCATAGCTGCCCTGTCGGGCTGCCCAGCTTTTTGCCCCAAACTTCGTTTTCCTTTTGCTCATTCATACCGTGAGAAGAAAGAATGATGACTGTTTTCCAGATCATCTTTCTCCATCATCACCACTCCCTCCCTCTCCCAAAATCAAATTTCAAATCCAAATCCCTCAATTCCATAATTAACAACTTAATGTATATATGTATAATTGCATAGAATTTTAATTAGGGATTAATTCTTCATCATCAAAAGTGAAATACCCAATAATTTCCTCCCATGGTTCTCCTTTTCCTCACCACCTCATGGAGTCCATACATGTTCTTATTATGCTCTCTTGTACAGCTGATCAGACCCACTTCCCGTTTTTAAAATTTCTTCTGTTCATCTCAATTTTCATGTGTAAATAGTTTAAAAAATAATGCCCTTCTCACTCTCTCTGTGCTTTTTCTATGGTTTTTTATTTTTAGGGGTTTACTGTTAAAATGATATTTTCTCTTCATTGGATAAACTTTAGTATCACTTGTATTGTTTTTGTAATTAATTAAACCCTCATTTCTTTCAGAATCAATTTCCCCACAAAAAGTCTGTTTGAATTTGAGTAATTTAAGTGATATGGCTTATCAACAGCACCCGCCTCTCCCGGGTCCAAGCTCAGGTTCGGGTCTGGGAGGGCTCCAACACATGAATTCTCCATTTGGGGATACCACCCTAACTAAGGTTTTTGTTGGAGGACTGGCCTGGGAGACGCAAAGTGAGACTATGAGGCGGTATTTTGAGCAGTTTGGGGAGATTCTCGAAGCTGTCGTCATTACTGATAAGAACACTGGCCGATCCAAGGGATACGGTTTTGTGAGTGTTATCTCATTCCAATGAAGAATAATGTTTGTTATGGAATTCTGTGTAATTTGCTTTTTTGATTATTGGATTCTTATAAAGTTTGCACCACTCATGCTTATCATATACTGCTTCTCAATAAAAATAAAAATAAACTTTGTGTAATTGATGCTTCCATCTCTACTCAAATTTTTTGGGATTTGTCTGCTTCTTAATATTTTACTTTGCCAATGTGAGATTCTGTTATTAATGTGTTACGCACACTGGGAAATCGTGATTGTATGGAGCATTTAGGTGACTTTCTGGGACCCTGAGTCAGCTAGAAGAGCATGTGCCGATCCAACTCCAATAATTGATGGAAGGCGAGCAAATTGTAATTTGGCTTCTCTTGGGCGACCTCGACCAGCACTTCCATATGGTAATGTACCTCATCTGCCCACACATATTGTGCTTGTTTGCAGGTAATCTTTTAGAGGTTTGTCCTCTGTAGTAATATGCCTTATTGGTGCTTTATTCCTGATCAAGATTCAGCTGTACTATTAAGAAAATCGTTTTTCAGTTGTGCAAACACCTGATGTTGGGTTGGAAATGTACTTGTGCTGTGGCTGTGAACTTTTGTAAGTGGGGTCATATAGTTATCATCTCCAGTTCCCAGTTTAAATTACATTATCCTAGAATCCTGTTATTACATGTTCATGTATATGTTATCAATCCTGCAATAATATTCCAAAACTTATTCCAGATTTTTAAAGCTGATAGTAATATTTAAGAAAAATGTAAAATTCTATCAATTATGTAGATCAGTAGTTAAATACACGCTCAAAATTAAGGCATTTCCTGGTTTTTTGGGAATTCTGCTCCATAAACAATGATGTAAATCGAATTATAGTTCCTTGGAGAAGTAAAATATATGTCTTCCAATCATCCCCATAGGGTATTTGACAAATGTTATAATTCAATTACATCAATTGTATAAATAAATAATGAAATTGGTAAAATATCATTGACTGTATGCAATAAAACAATGATCAAATCCATTAAAAGTTTTTTCTTATTTTAGGGGGTGTAATTTTTGTGAATCAATTCAACATTTCTACATTGGTACAAATTTCTCAAGTGATGACTGACTTGAGTTGAGGTGTTGCACACCCCCATGAGCCCCAGCATAGTAATACTTAGCCCCTATTTGACATCCTTTACTTTAATTTAATTTATTTTTTATACTCATTTTCAACCACTCATTTACACAGTAAAATATTTTACACGTAAATTCAAAATTTTTCCATACTTTTTAACCACACATTCTCCAAAAAAATACTATTCAAAACTAAGTTTTTAAAATTTTAAGGATGTCAAATAGCGGCTTAAATTAATGTATAAGGAAGCTCAAAGTTTAGAACAAGTGCCCTGGGGCATTTTCACAATTTTATGAATTGGTAGGTAGTCGTTACTTGGATTATGTGATAAAGTGAAAGATTGATCGCTATTCCTTATGTTGATCTTTTCAGTAAAAGTTTGATAGGATTTTTACAACTATATGTTTTTCCTGATTTTGTTGCTCATAGGACGGTTTAGATCACCAGCACCTTACCTTGGAGGTCTACAAGCTGCCAGGGGTGCTTATATTGGAAATTTTGGCTACCAGCAGCCAGTTACATATGGCTACCAACAAGGCTTGGTCTATTCTCCATATGGGTGAGTTATGCTTTATGATCATATTAGTCTTTGAGGATTAAGAAAATTTTTGTTGAGCTCAAAGGTTAACTGGATCTGCATCCACAGTCCTGGTGTTTCTTAAACATCACATCATTATTATTTTTCTACTGCCTTGTCTTCTCCCTCCTAAATGTGACATTATCTACCGCCTAGAGGAACAAAAGAATATATGAAAATGGAATTGAGGAATGTATCATTTCTATGTGGTTCTCATTCTTCGTCATTTCCCTTGTCATCAAACAGATTTAGCGTTTCTTGTTATTTCTGTTTGTTGGCTTGTTCTTCATGCCAGTGTATAACATGTTTAATGATGATGTTTTTGCTTTCGTGATGTGAGGTGTAATCCTCAACATAGATAGTAATATATTTAAAATAAGAAAGTACAATATTATATAATTTATATTCATAATAAAACCGTTTAAAAAATTCATAATAGGATTCAACAAAATAAAAGGCTGATTCTGCGAACCTTAAACATAAAATGGATCGAAAAAATTGTAAAAAAATAAATTAACAAATTACTGATCACATAAGAAGACCATTGAACCACAATTAGAACTAAAAGTCTAAAACAAATGAAAAAATTATTCAAGGATTTTGCTTGCTTTGAATTTAAAAGAAATGTCACAGAGTGTCCTGAGTTATAGAAGCAGAGGGCTAGAGCACACAAAGACTCTTCACTTGTTCTTTTCTTTCTTATGTGATCTCTGATTTTTTTTCGTTTTCAATTTTTAGGGTTCGTATTGTTTAGAGCAACCCAAAAGTTTCTTTAAAACAATTTCCACTATGAAAAATCGTTCTATAAAGATGAGGCTGGTAACTTAAAATAACCCAGGAGAAAGACTAAGGGAGTGCATGTCTTAGCTTCCCCGAGGCTTTTACCCTGAGGTGTGCGCATGAGTAAGTCAAGGATTGTGTCTTGACAATGCAAAGCGTAAGGTTTAAGGCTCCTGATGAATGCTAGACACAGCACGTCTCAAGTCATAAGTCTTGGTGCTTTTGAAAAGATTCTTCCCATCAGTTATTGCATGTGAAATTTTCTTCGGTTTTGTATTCTATTCATGGTTGTTGTTCCAGCTTGCGCATAACTCCTTGCATGTGTCAGCGTAGAATGCAAATTATTATGTGTACTGACACTTTCAGTCCATTTTGTCAACTTATAATTTCTGCTGGAACATATGATCTTTTTTTGTATCTGCTGAAAAATTAAGTTTTATGAATCCACAAGTTATTTGGAACTTGGAAGTGTGTTTGTATTGTATTGTAGAAGTATTTTCGTAGATGCCATGAATGCTGCTAATTATCTCGTCAACAATGTCAAAGTTTATTTTTCATATGTGAAAGGAAAATGAAATATTTAGTTGAGACATACAGGTTTATTGTGTTATCCTTGCATATGAGAAGGTGATCCCTTTCAAGTCTATGTGCTTTCCTCTCTGTGCGTATTGATCAACATATCATGCACATAAACAAGTATATGCATGCATCTTTTGGTTCTAGGTTTAATGTAAAGAAGCAGCTCTACTTTCTTTGCATGCATAATCTGCACTGCTTGTTTTTGTGTTATTACCAATATTTTGAAAATCGACCTCGTCATATACTCGAAAAAGGGTAAAGGGTAGGTCAAAAAATCAAACCGGGGTCAAACCGGAGTTGAACTGCTAATAATAAATAAAATGATTAATATATAAATATATTAAAAACTTTGGCAAAAATTTTCAAAATGACTTACATATAGAGACAAAAATCATTTAATAAACTTGATTGCAATCAATTTTTATTATGTCCATTCCTAATTTCAACTGAAAATGAGACGACAAACATAGACGAATTTATTAATAGTTGAGTCGGTTATCAAATTCAAAGAATAATAAATAAATAAATAAATAAGTCTATCCCACCTGTACAATAATAGTATGCATCATCAATTGTTGTTAGGTGGTTTTCCTTTTGCTTTTCAAAAAGCAATGTGCCAATACCACTTTGGTCTCCATCAACAAAAATGCTAAAGAAATAGGATATAAAAAGGGCAGCCCACTATTGAGATAGGTACACTATTTGGGCCTTATTGTTTTAGAGGGGCCCTAAATAATAAGTTTGATTTCAAGTTTTGACAGAAAAAGGCCATTGTTAAAACCAGTAAACCCAGTTGTGGGTCAGCCGGTTTTGCAGTTAGACCGGCTACGCGGTTGATTTTTCTCCGGATTTTAAAAACGGTTTTTAGGCATCAACCGAACTGGCTTTGACACCGGTTCATGGTTTTCCTGGTTGGACCAGCTGGTTCCAGTTTGGGTTTGATAACATTGGTTATTAAAATAAAGGATACAATTGAAAGTAAGATCTCATCAAAACTGGACTTTTCTTATCATCTCCTTTGCTTAAATCTCCTGATGTGTTAGAAACATATTGCTGCATGCAATTTGTGCATGTTCCCTGATAATTTAGGCTCTGAACTTATGGATATGGTCAAAACAGAAAGCCTGATATAAGAAATTATTGATCGAGTTGCTAGATTAAGCCTTCCTGAAGCTTTGATGTGATTGTATGCATATTACATTATGGTATGTTTATGTGATGACTGTCGAGCAAAAAGAAAACCACCCATTCAGTTGAAAGGGTTGTTAAGTTTGTGATTAAATTGGATTTCTTATTTAGTTTAAATGAGGAAATGACATTCCATCTGAAATTGGACATCTTTATTTTCTTTCGTGACATCCCAAATTAAAATCCATTTTCTTAACTATCTTGCTTTCAATATTCTTTTGCGAACTACCTTTTTCTGTTTGACAAGTTCTTTCCAAGGGACCCTTAATAAAACAATCTTACCTACTATTATATATTTAAATTGGAAATGCATGGTTCCAAACATGACATTGTTACCCATCAAGTAATAATATTGGAAAGGAAAAATTGCTGCAGCGGTCCCTAGCCTTTTCAATTTTTGCAGACTTAACTTTAATCTTCAATTTGTGCCAGCGAAGGTCCCTAACCTTTCACCTCACCCCATTTGCATCTTCTTCCCCCAAAGCAAACAATACTCCAAAACCATCGCCATCGTCGCTTATATCGTTGGATTACCACCATCTTCCTCTACCATCCCATCTGCACCTTAACCAAATCTTCTCCATCACCATCAATTTTTTACCCTTGGCCCAAATCCCCCACCCATATCCTGCATTTGATAGAAGTTATGTTTTTTCTTCAAAGATGAGAACTTTTTAGTCTGCAACTTTACTGTCGCCTTGCTAACGTACGTTGCCACCACCTACACAACAGATCTATCGATCAACGACATCTGGTTGGCTAACCGATGATTTTTCTTGGGTGATGGTCCTTGAGGAGTGAAGGTGATTCCTGACCGTTTTTCTGCTTCGACCTCCAGTGTGGTAATGGATTTGGTTTTGGTTTTTTCAGCTTCGACCTCCATTTTTTAGCTTCGACTATTTTTCATGGGTGATGATCCTCATGGAGTGAAGGTAATTTTAGCTTCAAGGATTGAAGGTTTTGGTTTTGATTTCTCGAGTGAAGGTTTTGAATTTTTCTTGGGAACCTGGGTAATAAATTTTTTGTGGTTAAGTTCTTAGTGAAAGACACTAGTGGTGGTGGGAAAGAGAAAAGTGGTAGCATTGTGCGATGGCCTGCGTCATGTAGATGGAGGTGGCGATGATCGGCGAGTGACGAAGCCGTTGTTGTCTTGGGTTTGGTTTTGGGGTGGGGTGGGTGACTTTTGATTTTGGTTTTCATTTTTTGATTTAATTATTTCATTTTAATTATTTAATTATATAAAATATAAATTTACTATTTTAACCTTTTAAAATTGGTCAACCATTTGACTTTTGGTCAACTAATTGTCAAATGAATGGTTTCTGTCAAGTCGGACCTCAGTTGCATATTCATGAAAAGTTAGGGACCTTCGTTGGTACAAATTGAAGGTTAGGGTGAAGTCTGCAAAATTTGAGAAGGTTAGGGACCGCTGCCGCAAATTTTCCTATTGGAAAACCACATAAAAGCACGACTTTTCGACCCTTCTAATTTACATTTGCTGGGTCATGCTAATACATTTAAGCCTCGGGAAGAATTTATAAACGGTTTAATATATAAATAGATAGAAATGAATGGTAGATAAGTGACTTAAGAGTCCATTAGAATGTGCATTTGAAAATGAAGTTTTAACCATTTATAAATGATCCAAAATTTTGTGAAATGGAGGCTGAATGGTTCATTATTTGATGAAAATTACTTCGGATAGTTTGCAGTCTGTATAGTTATTCATTTGAATTTACATTTTTTCTGGGATATAATATAAGAAATGGTTCTTTTCATGTCTTCATGCCTATCATCACTTTTTTTATTTTGTGTGCTTATTTCAAATGGTTATCTAGTCTGGTATTATATTAACAAATGATGATGGGTATGGAGCATGAATACGTTTTACTTTCGGATACCAAACTCTTTATAATTGATCGTCCCCACACCTTTTATTTATGCAGGTATGCTGCATATAGTCCAGAATATGCTTATCCCCGGGTTTGTAGCTTAGAAAACTTGCTGCTTAAGTATTTTTAATGGTAAGCCCATGAAGTTGTTTTTATGCATAGCAGTTCATTTTTTTTCATAGGGTGTTTACAATCCTTATGGAAGTCAGCAATACCTTCATGTATATGGTGTACCTGGAACAGTCAACACAACTATGTACCCTTACAGCCAGTTGAGCCAGATTCTTCCAGGAAGTCATAGTTATTCGACATTGCCAGGATATGCAATGACTGGGCATCAGATTGTGCAATTTGCTGGGCCTAGTGTAAATGCGGTGACAACTACATCTGTTCCAACTGTTCCGACACCATTCGCTACAGGTACATCTGTCACTTGCTGAACGTGTTTTTTTCTTGTGTATGAAAGAAGACACAATTGGAATCGTGTATCTGCTCGAGCTTTCAAATGCCTACTCAATTCATGAGATAGGCATAATCTTAGACATTTTCTCGACAATGTTCTAGCCTCAATAGGACATTATTTTTATTTTTATCTGATAACTCTTTTGGGAGGGGGCTTATGTATTTCTTGGTGAAAAAGATAATTTACATTTGCAGAATCGGTTCCATGGAATCTGTACTATGTTATCCTTGAAATCTTGTAATTTTATTTTATATGTTTTATAACAGATCTGAGGCTAATGTGTTTGGTTGTATCAGGTGTCGCAGCACATATTCTACCGCAACCTCAGTTCATACTACCTGCTCATTCTCCTCAATTCATGCAGGGTAGCGGTTCTGACCCAAATGCTGGGTGAGGGTTTGATCTAGGTAAGTTTTCGTGTTCAATTTTGTGGTTTTTTTTTCACATAATTTTCACAATAGATACTTTTCTTATGACTTTATGCCAATTTGCAGGTATCCTTAGACTGCAGCAGGACTAAGAACAGCAGTACTGCTACTTGTGTGGCAGGCTTCAAATCTAGCCTTGCAAATTATTAATTTCGCATTCTAGAGGTATTTCATACAATTTCAAAATAATTGAATTTTGATTAAAATTCATCAACAGGTGTCTGTTACATTTGGCTTTTTAAATTTGAGACTAAGTGCATGTTTGTCTAATCTTAAAAAAATTGCTTATAAGTTTACACATATAATCAAGTTCTAATATAAATAATCTCTTTGTTTATTAAAGTTGAAAATAAGTAATTGATTTATTTTGAAAGTAATCCCTACCTTACCATTAAAATGAGCAACTTTTTGTACTTGTTAAGTCAGAAAAAAGTAGCCTATCTAATCATGTTTTGAAACAAGGTTTACTTATATGTAGTTTTGACTTACTTTTAAGCTCATCCAAACATGCTCTTAAGGGCACTTCAGATTATGGATCAAACTGGGAGCTCTGATCTAGAACTTATCATAAAATAAGGTGCTTTGACCTAGTTAATTAGCATTTTGTTATTACCTCATAACATTTTCACTTACATAACAACAAATCAAGAAGTTAAGCCTTCTTATCTAAGCAACCTTTCAATCCTTTTTTTCACCATATCGTTTGTATTACACATCCGCTCTGTATTATGGCCGTTAAACAGTCTGGTGCTTGAGGAGTGAAGGGTTTTTGAGAATTTTCTTCTTTAAGATTTATGCGTTTGATTGTTCAGAAAAGATCCGTTCATTTTGACTTTCAGATGTTCTCCTCAACTTATGGCCACAAAACAGTAGTGCTTTTTTTGGGGGGAGGGGGGGGGGGGGGTAAGTAGCATCCTGCATTATAAAACCCTACAAAACCAGTCGTGCTCATCTCTACTGTGATGCACTTCTGACATACACCATCATTCCATTTGTTATAATTGCATACTGGGGCACTTGAAAGAGAGGAAAGGGGGTACATTTATCCTTGTAAGTCTTAGGTTATTTATATCAAGTGAGATTGAATATGTCACTGATAATGGAAGATGAACTTCGAAGATTAATGTGCATTTGCATGGCATTTCTTTGTTAATCTGATGTATGTAACTTGTGCAGGTCTTACATTGTCATGCTCACCAGAGAAGTTGATGTCAGAGAGAGGAAATGGAACGTGTGAAGGCACATCGTTCAGCATCATGTATCTAAATTCTCATGTTCTGCCGGTCTAAATGGATGACCGGCGAGGAGTCCCAGACTAATGGTGGCCAGAATTGGTTTCTGGCTCACGTATAGGAATAGTGAACCATGTAAAAAGACCATGGTAGAATCAACATATGATTCTTTTAGACTTGGAGTTCCCAGCATTTTGGGTGTGTAGATAATCTTTGGAGTCTGTGTGTTGCATCCTGCAATGTATTTGAAAGTTGGGTCAGCATCTTGTGCATAACAACCGTTTTTAGGCTCTCATTGGATTATAATACTATATTCTGGATTATTATAGAGCTCGACTTCAAAATATGAAAGAAGCTCTAGGTTTGTATAGAAAGAGGACCCTTCGTCTTTCTTGCAGGCTCTTTATACATGAATAGGTTGGCAAAAGATTTGTATTTGAGAAATTTCGGGGTGGCCATGATAATCATCCTATACAAAAATTCAGATTTTTATCTCTAAAAGGAATCCAAAAAATTTGTTAGAAGTTTGTATCGATATCTTACTTCCTTAATTTTGGGTATTAGGGATCTTTGTTTCAACTAAGAGTGCTTTAAATATATTGTAATTGATGCCAAGTTTCACGTTTTTCCAGCTTTTTTTTTATATATATGCCAAGTTTCACATTTGATCTTCCCTTTTTGTTCATAATCCATGGTTTTTTTTTTAATTTAATTCATCATCTCCATTCAAGCATGCGAGCAGTTGCTTAATGTCGTCTTTATTAGTTTCATCTAACTAGTTTATGGGTTTTCTCAAGTATATGAGTAAGACTTCATGCACGCATAGTTACCATTAACAATTGTTTTTGTAACAAATAATGGAGTATCAGAAGAAATAATGGAGAAAATGCTGAAAGTGGCTGATGAATTTTTGTGTCACTTTTACTGGCGTTTGCGCCATACCTCAGAAGAAGAGAATTTAATTTTATTTTTTTCTACGGATATTCAACCCTCCATTTACTTCGGCGAAAGAAATTAAAGAACAATTCATGGAAACTTTATTAATATGCTTAAAAATATTTTTAAAAGATATACATCGTGAAGTTAAAGAATCAAGATGTATATCAATGAAAAAATGAGATGAAATATTGAGATTATAAGTACACTACAATGGTTGTATTTTTTTTTTAGTTTTTTGTTGGATTGGAAGTATAATTGTAAATTTATTGGAGTATATTTATTAAAAGTATATTATAATGTGGTATAGTAATTAAATTTTGTGTTGATAATATAATTACCCTTCTTTTTATTGTTACAACAGAGAACAAGTATGCCTTCACTAACAAGGGATACAAAAAATAAAAAACTGAGAGCAAGTTTTGTTAAGAAAAATATGAATTTGTTATGTATATAATTAATTTTGTATAAATGTTATCTTAAAGTTAGTCCATTTAAAATGATTTAATAAATAATTAAAGTTAT